ATATGTATATGTGTATATATATATACATAAATAAACGAAAAGCTTTAAGATATGATCTAATTGTAAATTATACAAAAAAAAGTTATAGGCCAGTAATGTATTGATTATTTAAGACAAAAATATTTAAATTATTTAAATAATAATATTAAGAAACATGTTAGAATAAATAGTAATCTTCTTCTTAAGTCCATCTTCCAAAAGCGAAAGTTTGGTGACCCATCAGTTGACGTTGTCAACAATCTCTTTCCAAAGCTCACGGTTTTCTGCTAATCATATGGCCTCTCGTAGGGGATACCCAGTGATGGTTTTGATCTGGTCTATCCAACGCATTAGAATTCTTCCACGGTTTCTTTTCCCTTCTATTTTTCCTTCGATCATCAGCTTCTCCAGGCTCGATCCATCCATATATCCATCCATATCAATCCATATATTAAATAGTAATATTTATATGTAAATAAATCTCTATTTAATTATTATTTATCTGAGTTATAATTTGAGAAAATTTATCATTATATTATATAATGTAAATAATATTATATATTATTTTATCATTATATTTATTTGTATTTTGTCTTTAAATTCTTTTATTGTAATTGTATTTCGTGTGTAGATTATCAGAAAATAACTCTCTACCTTTATCATAAGCTTGCTTACAGAAAGTAGATAAACCAAAATGTACGGATAATAATTGTTTTTATATTGTTTAATAAATGGTTATTTATAAAAAAAATTTAAATCAATATAATAAATATAAACTTATATCTATATTTATATGCCCTATCGAAATTTCAAAATGGCCTGCTTGAAATCTCGCATACTTGAAAAAACTTGAAATATTGTCCTTGTTGGTAAATTATGATTATAGTATCCACACATTTATAGATTCTAATAAAATATAAAATAAGAATCTATAGATCTTTCGGTAGATAGCAAAAATATTATTATCTTACATTTTTACAAACGCATTTATTATTTTATAATTTTGATTATTATTCTTGTAAAAAATCTTTATTTCTAAATTGAAAACTAGTATAGGGTACATAAAAAATCATATAGTTAATTTATATTAAATCTTCATAAAAAATAATTTGCCATTGTCCTTGATTAAATATACATGTTGTATATTTAATCAATGCCACTGTCCAACCCTAAAAAAAAATATACTTAAATCAAGTATTAATTACAAGTATAATTAACAATAAAATATTTAATTAAAATAAAAATTTATAAAAATTTGGTATTTTCATCAACCAGCCCATTTTAAAATTATAATTATTATAAATATTTAAATTATATATGTTGTAGATTAATGTCCGATTGTGTTTGTATATATGTGCGAAGTCTTGGATTCTTGTTATATATTTATTTATAAATGCTTAGAATTCAGACAATGAATACTTACCAATCTAAACCAATTTATAATTATGGAATTTACCTGCATGCAATACATTGCATGAGTATAATGGTTATTATATTTAGTAAGTACACCACTGCTGTTCAATTAACAGCTATCTCGTGTGTCATAATTATTAAAATTTATTCAACAATTAAGCTTTAAACGTTCATAATAGGCCAATACTTCCTATGGATAACAAATTGGTTAAAATTATAAACAAATATAATTATTAGTTTCGCAATTTTAAAAAAATAACAAGAAAAATTTTAATGGTTTCTTTGTTTTTTTTTTTTTTTTTTGTCACAATATTTCTATTCAGGGCCATATTGAGTCTGGTGGCTCCCCTAGCGAATCTCTGTATTTGCCCCTCTCCCTATGGTAAATTTGCAATTTTTTATAAAATAGAGATATATAAAGCATGTATAAAAACATACCTAGTATACAAGGTAATAATTACTAATAAACTTTAATAATTATTTTTATTACTTTAAAATATAAACAATTAATATATTATAAAAACATGTAATTTTTTCAAATAATTTTGTTATACAATTGTGTTAGATGATTTTAAATTTATTTTAATACAATATTACAATGATAATTTTCTTGCTTTTATAAAGGCAAATTTATCAATGACATTATCAAATTAAATTGTTACATAAGTAATGTTGAAATTTGCACCCCTCTTAGAATTGCGCCCCTGGCCCATGCCCTCTTGCCCTTCACAGTTTAGTTTGTTTCTATTTTTAAAACATTTTAAAAATGTTTCATGTAACTTTAGAAACGTCGAAAAAAGTTCATTGTTATTTTAAATAAAAATATGTTATACACTACTGTATTTAATATAAGTACTTCAGAAAAAAATATAATTATTTCGAACATTTATATATACGCAATTAATTTGTCATAATAACAATATATATTTATAATATTATGAAAACCATCATAATTATTTTATATTATTCTATATATTTTTAAAATGTTTATTATTCTTAATATTATAGTTTTACATGAGTATTGATCTATTACTTTGAAAATTCAGCGATGATTTATATGATTATGGTGTGGGAAATTCAATTTTTATAATGATAACTAATTGTATTTTTAAATTAAATAAAAATTCAATAGTTCTATATTTCTACATGTAAATAATTGAAATATAAATCAAGCAATTTTAAATACGTTATCGGTTATCGTATTTTAGTTACTATTCTTTTACTATTTGTATTATTTAAAATTTTTTTGGGAAATTAAATGAATTACCTAGATATGGTTATCAAAGGATATTGCGGCCGAGAAGAATGAGAAGTCTATCACCTGTGAAAACCGTCACTACTATGATATCCAACCCACTAATCAATTAAAATTCAATAGATCTTACCTATTGTAGCAAAAACCTATACGAGGAAGAGGGGAAATCGCCTCTAGTTGCTGATATCCTAGATAAAAAATTAATGTTCCTATAATATGTATAAGTTTAATAACTAATAGCACTGAGGTTATTTATAAACCAACAAAAATAGAATAATTTTAACATCACTAAATATTTTGTCATTCAATAGTTCATTAACTTCTAAGAATCATATGGTGCGCACCTATTTACGTAAAAAGTAGTTGTTGCTATAATATTTCTTTAGTTAATTTTTTTAATTAACCATTATCTACACGTTCATAAAGAGTATCAAAATAAATAAGTATAATTATATATAGGTATATTACTTATAATACTGTAAGTACCATGTAAATTATTGAATTGTATATTTTTATTTTATTAAATATTATTAATTTAATGAGAATCATTAAATAGTATCTGAAAAATAATAAAATATGAATGGAAGCATGTTTTTTATAGGTACAACTATTACAGTTTTAGACATTTACAAATCAATCTTTTTTATAAAAATTACAATCTTTACAAATAAATAAAATATGTACATTTAATTTTAATAATAAAAATAATTCTACAAGACTACAATGTACTATTTAAAATCATTATTAAAGTCTAAAAATATCTTTTATTGTAATTTTAATAATTAAATGAACAACTGTAGATAATAATACATAATGTATATTATTATGTATGCGCATTACGCAATATATCAGAGTTGAAACGTATAATACGGTATACAGTGCCGCGTTAGCTATGTAGTCGCTCAGGAGCAAATAAAAATATGCCGCTCTTAAGAAAATTACAATAAAAAATATAAAATTATATATATAATATAAATAATATGTGTTATAGTTATACATTCGTACAAGAAAAATTATAATTATATATTTTTTATTTTGTGTTGATCCTCAAAAATTTGCAGCCCCGGAGCGATTGCTTCCCTCCCTTGCCCATGTTAAACGCGGCACTGACGGTATAGTATAAAACACGTATTATACGTACGTATAAAACAAGTAATTATATACGTTTTACACAGTATAAAAATAAAATCCCTTATAAACAATTATGAATTTATAATTTAAACACAAAAAAACAAGGAAATAAAAATTATAAATAAACAATTCTGGTGCTATTAATCTATTGTCATTACTTTATCGCGAATGTATTTATAATAAATTCATTGTACTTGTGATATTTGTAACACTTAATATTTTATATTAATAGGTTATAAATAAAAAATTAAAGTAGATAAATAATATAAAATAGTACTAAAATCAATTTGTACTATGTATAATAATTAAAAACCTTACATAATAACTGAAATAGGAATTATTTTTAATTTTTAAGAGTGAATTTCAAAAACAAACCGTATTATACGTCGTTTTATACGTTTTATAGGTATGTTTTATACATGTGATCAGTGGCGCATACATAACTTTTGTATAGGGGGGATGATTTGCAAATAAATCATTATTTTTATTTTATCAATTTTTTTCTTATGTTTCTAACGCCCTCGCACTAAGAACATTATTTTATAACATTTAAAAAAAGGCCTAGGGGGATCTGATATACGCCACTGCGTGTGATATACGTGTAACGTATAAAACGTTTTATACACGTATATTAACAACCATGCAATATACCCAGTCACTTTTAAAATTATTTTTATCACCTCCCTATAAGTTAAAATACACATTTTGATTTTACTTTTTATTTATTAAATAATTTATATTATAATTCAGTTTTAAAATAAAAAAATATTATTTCCTAGTCCGATTTTCATTTTTAAACTAATGTTTATAACATGTACACGATTTTATTAATTTTAATACGTAATCACCAAAAATAAAATCTTCGGTACATTGGCATCCATGAGTAAAGTTTTAGGGAAGGAGGCAAAAAAAAATCGTATATTTTATATCTTAATTTGGATTAAGTAATATTAATTAAATCACAAATTAAAATTAATATTATTTTCAACTGGGGGTAGCCTGTTTTGCCATCCCTCAATTTCTATAATCAGCACCCATGTTTGTTTATTATAAGCGTTCGTTTCATGGGTAATCAAGAATTTAACAGAGATCATAGACGCGAGAGTGCAAATATAACGTATAGTAGTAGTAGGTAGTACTGAAATTGAAAAACACATGTTTACAATTGTAATAATATTGTTTAAAAGCGCATGCGCCTTATCATTACTTAATCTTATCATAGTAATGTTTAGCTCTAATATTTTTGTAGTCTTAAACTGCGATACTTTGTATCAGGTGTTTCATTAGTATATATTTTATTATGCCGCGTTAGTGACTTATGAACCTTGTGTTAGCACTTACGTGGTAGGTATTTTCGTTTCAATCAATTTTAATATATTTCACTAATACAGCGTTTTATGAAAGAGTGTAGATTACAATGAATATATTATAAGTAAAAAAAAAAAAAAACACTTTTGACAAATTAGGCAAAATGGCTGAATGTGAATTACGACAGAGGAAAAAAGAAGACGAAGGTGTTAAGCTAGAGAATAATGAAGAAATAAATGTTGTTGAACAAGAACAGGTTCTAAGAGAAAATAAACCTGAAACAGTAAGATACATATCAACTTATTTGTTCATGTAATGGCAAATTTTCCATATATTTTGCTTCATTTAGATATTTGTATTTAACTATTATGAAAATTTAAAATTAGTAGTTCTAAATATTTTTAGTAGAATGTTTTTAGTGTTTGAATCCAACATTATAGATTCTGTATTGGAATGAAGCGTATTTATTAATTTTACTAATCATTGCATTTACCTAACATCATTTTTTACACTCTAGCTAGATATTTATTTATATCCAAATTAAGTTTTTAACATTAAAAACAATAAAAATATATAACTTTTATAAAATTAATTTTTTGGTGTGAGTACATTATATTTTAATTCTATAACTCAAATCTTATCTACCTTTATTGAATAAGAATTTATAATTGAATAAATTAAAAGTCTATTTAAAATAGTATCATTTTTAATACTTATATGTATATATGGATGTAGCTTTTATAAGTATGTTGAAAAAATTATTTATTAATTCTACAAAAAAATCAATAACACTTACATTTTATAAAATAATATTAACTAAAGTATGAATGGAATTTGAGCGCTGAACACACATAATTATTAGGTTTTCTATTATTATAACACTATATTAAATAACTTACCATTTTACTTACTGTTATCTTACATATTAATCGTATAAATCTAATATTATTATTGATGGACTGTAATAGTGACTACTAAAAGTTCTAAAAAAAAAAAAATTTAAATAATGTAATTAGTCAACACAATACTGTTGTATTGAATATTTTTAACTTGGAATTTATAGAAGTAAAAATATTTTTATAAGTAAAATATTATTATTTGCTTTCGATTTCATTTGTAATTCAAAGATACTTTTAATTCAGTAAATAATTTTTCAGATCAATGATTGTATTCAGTCATGTGTTATGACAAATACTATGCCACCTATGGTTAGACGTTACAGGCCAGTGCATAAGATTTATAGTGCTTATCAAAATTTACGGAAATTAAAAGGTCCTAAACATTGGTATGCAGGTTCAAATTATTTCAATAATCAAGCCTCTTTCAATTTTCGAACAAATAATTATCGTAGGTCTAAAGTAAGTTGTCTGCTCAAATATTTTTTGGGTAGGTCTAGGTTGTGGCATGATGTTCCTGGGAACAATTCTCAAAGTACATGGTGATAGTACAAGTAATCTAAATGCTTTTATGGATTTGGGAAACCTTTTATTAGTATTTTAATGGCTTATGTTATATATGCCGAAGTATCATAATTTTCTGTTTCCTAAAATATTAAATTTCAAATGAATTAACCATACAATGAAATTTATTTTATTAATGAATGAAATTTGATAATATTTTCTTGTACAAGTGACAATAATGCTGCTAATAAAAAATTTATATTGGCTTAAAAATAATAGCATCTTAATTTTAAATTATGATTTGCATGAAAACTAATCTAGTATATTAAAATTATGGTCATAGGTGATTGTAAAGTTGTAAATACTAAGGTAATGCAAGGTGTATTCTCCTGTATTTTAAGATACTGTTGACTTAACATAATATCAGCATACTTTAAATGTCATAATAGTATAATATTTACTAATTAATGTAAAAACCAGTTAAATTGTTTACAACTGCCTACTACTAATTAATTTGACCAAATATATTTTTTTTTCATTATAAATTCATACTATTAAATTTAAATCTATATTGATAATTATCAAATTCCATATAGGTCTGAGTATAATTTACATAAAAAAAAATTTACTGCACACATAAACTTAATTTTATACGTTTTTTTTTTTTTTTACTGAATTATTTATTCATAAAAATTATTTAGGCATCTAATCATGCTATCGCTATTCTATGGCACATTCAACAATATGATCTATTTTATTTATTTTGCTTGCTGCTGTTGGTAAATTTTTACATGAATTATACATGCATTTTTATGATTGAAAATCAGTTTTATTTTTAACATTTTTTAAATATGTATTTATATTTTACAAATATTTTTGTTTAAACATTTTTTTCCACAAGACTATTTTATTATATTCCAAAACATTTACTTTTGTTTACAATATGCATATTTAGAACTAATTATTGAACTAAAATGTGATAAACTCTAATAAGTAAATAAACATGGTATGTATAATACGAGGCATATTCGAAAAGTAAGGGCTGCTCGCTTATATTTCAATATTGACTAAATGTTACACATTTAAATTTGTGCATATCTGTACATGCACTACTTGGATAGCTATTTAAGGTGTTGTTTTGATTCAGTAGTAATTTGCCTATTTATGGGTACAGTAAACAATTTCCGTGGTAATTGTTGCTCTGATACTACATAGTTGCTGAGATTCATTAAGAGTTATACCTAGTTTATGGACCTACTTTAATGAGTGAAAAAAAGGTTGGACAATGATGTCATGATTTCAAAAATAGCCGAACAAATGTTCATGACGAAGAGCAGAGTGGTAGGCCCACCATGCAAACCGATGAAATTGTTTCCCTGGTAGACCAAAAACTACTATCTGATCATTGGTCGACTATTAGTGTCCTGGCTGATGAATTTCCTCATCGTTGATGAGTTTTTACCCAGTGATTGCTTCCTTTTCTTACATTTCAAAAAATGGCTCGGTGGACTACGCTTTGAAAATGACAAGGAATTTAAGAACGCCATTGAAAAGTGGTTCAACTCGCAGGTGATTAGCTTCTATGGAGAGGGGTTAAGGAAGCTGGTGCAGTGGTACAAAGAAATTCTTAGAAGTGAACAGCGATTATGTGAAAAAGTTAAGTAGATTTATAGGAAACTAAATATGCTAATGAAACTTATTTCATATGATTATAATTTTTTTTATGACAAAACAGCCCTTTTCGAATATGCCTCACATTAAAATAATTCTTTGTATTTTAGTAAATTATCAATATTTTATGATTTATGTTTATATTTATTTATTATGTGTTCATATATTTGTAAAGTTTATGTATATTTGATGGTTCATTTTGTTATTCAATATTGGTTTTATTATTAAAAATGTACTTATTATTTATGTATATATCTTTTTGATGCTATAGAAAGAAGATTTTGATTCTGAAGATGATAAAAATATAGATCTGTCAGCAAAAATACCATCTGGAACAAATAAAATGCCATACTTACTAGAAACTTTATTAAGTGGGATATCTGAAAGGTAAGACACTTTTAAAACATTATTACTTTTAGGGTTGTATGGTATTAAGAAATTTGTATTTTTGTAAATAGATGGAGAAATTGGATAATTCGAGGTATATTTGGATGGCTAATGATTGGCCTTTTTTGTCTCTTATGTTATGGAGGACCTCTAGCTTTAATGATAGCTGTAAGTATTACGTAGTATTTTATTTTAGTTATATAATCATAATTACAATAAAAATCAATAGTTTATATCTAAGGCTTCATGTTTGGCCTCATATTTTTTGTTTTAACGATTTATTAAAAAGTGGTCAAGGTTATATGATTTTTTTTTATAGTATATCATATAAAACAATTTATTAAATATTATAAATTAAATTGAAAATATTGTTTGGTAAGATGCAGAAGTTTAGAGAAATATTTTGATTAGATGTTACTTATTATGGGTGTTAGATGAATTATTTGTTTACTTTTAAAAACAATAAATCATCATATTTGAAAAATAATATGTATATAAATAATGTGGTTTGATCAATATTATATCTTTGAACAAATTAAATATATTTTAATAAATAATTAATTGTCATTTTATCAGGTCTATATAATATATAGACCTGAATAATAATAAAATATTATAATTATATAATTATACATGATCATTTTATATTTTAAATATTTTTTTATTCAGTCCTAAAGTATGTTTAAATACTTTCATGTATTTATAAATTGATAACAGGTTTTAGTTGTGCAAGTCAAATGTTTCGAGGAGATCATCAACATTGGTTATTCTGTTTATCGTATTCATGGCTTGCCTTGGTTTCGTTCTTTATCATGGTATTTTTTGATGGCATCTAACTATTTTTTTTATGGTGAAAGCCTTGTGGACATATTTGCTGTGGTTGTTAATAGAACTGTAAGTTATTTTTATTATTGGCATACTTTTTATTACTAATGAATAATAACTAATAATTAATTATTTAATTTAGGAATATTTGAAAATGCTGATAACTTATCACCGATTTGTTTCATTTAGTCTGTATATTGCTGGTCTTGTGTGGTTTGTCTTGTCTTTAGTACGCAAGTATTATATGAAACAATTCTCATTGTTTGCTTGGACTCATGTTTGTCTTTTGATTGTTGTATCTCAAAGCTATTTTATTATTCGGAACATATTTGAAGGACTAATATGGTATGTAAAATATAATCCTACTTACTATTTAGTAATTTGTTGAATTGTGTTATTCAATTATATATAGTCTTATATACATATGTAAGTTGTTAGTGGCAAAGTCTGGTGGTGTTTAGTTGTTAATTGATCCTTATAAATTAAAAAGAAAGTTAATTTTCATTTATGAGAAAATAGTTTAAAATATTTTTCAATTTTTTTTTGTTGGACTGTTTTTTTTATGTCTATTGTTATGTTCTAGTATAATTAAATAATCTAAAATTTTCCTAAATTTTAGAGTTTTGGATTTAAAAATTTTAATTTTTTTATGTCTTCATAAATAAATCTAAAAATTAGTGCCAATGAACAAGACTAATTATCAAAACAATTTCTTATTATTAAATTAATAATTATTTTCTACTAATATACAAATTATAATATTAGCATTATAATGCTATATTTATTATTTTAGATTTTATTGGTTATAGGTTTATTGTACCAGTTTCAATGATCATACTTAATGATATTTGGGCTTATGTTTTTGGATTTTTCTTTGGAAGAACACCGCTGATACAAGTATCGCCTAAAAAAACATGGGAAGGATTTATTGGTGGTGGTGTAGCTACTGTAATTTGTGGTATTGTGGTAAGTTTTTAGTTTTATTTGTATTATTAAAATATTTCTTTACATTTCTTAAATAATATAAAAATGAATAATCATTAAGTTTTCATTGTTTAAAAAAATATTTTGAATGATTTAAATGTACCATACTTATATTATTGTAACAGTTTTTATAGACATAAATAAATTACTAGAATTATTAAAACTTTTTTACAGATATCATATTTCTTGTGTCAATATCCATACTTTGTTTGTCCAGTGGAGTATAGTGAAAAGTTTGGTAAAATGATAATTGACTGTGAACCATCACCATTATATACTCTTCATGAATATGTTTTACCAGATTTCATGGCACATGCTATGAATTTAGTATGTATTAAATAATTATTTTTAATTGCTATAAAATTAATAACTAATATGTATAGGTTATGGGTTAAATATTAAATTTGGTTTGAATTTACTCATCTGAAATGTATATAATTTTGGCAATTAAATTTATAGTTTTCTTATTATATATATATTACCCTGTAAATCATAGAAAACTAATAAATAATAAAATAATATTTTTTTTTATCATTTAGTGTATATTGTAGGAGTTTTATGATTGGATAGCTTCTTTATTTAGGTGTTCAAGACAAATCTGCTTTAAATGTATTATAGTTAATGCTATTTGTACTAAATTTTGTATACCATAGTTGGCTATTCTAATAAAAAAAAATATGTTTGAAATATAATGAGTAATATTAAATTCAAAATAATAACTAATACTGTACTGAGCTTGTATTTATTGAATAACAAAAATAATATCAAAATAAAAATATATATTTAATATTTATGCTTATTTTTATTATTTTAGTTTGGAGCCTCAAACAAAATCACAATATATCCTTTTATGATTCATGCTTTTTGGATGTCTTTGTTCAGTTCTATTATTGGACCCTTTGGAGGATTTTTTGCTAGTGGATTTAAACGTGCATTTAAAATAAAGGTTATTAATTTAAAAAAAATTATTTTATTTTTTTCTACTAATAAATGTATTAATTTCATATTAGGACTTCGGTGACGTGATCCCAGGACATGGAGGAATTATGGATCGTTTTGACTGTCAATATCTTATGGCAACATTTGTTAATGTTTATATTTACAGTTTTGTAAGCACACCTACTTTACAAAAAACTGTTCAACAGGTAATTAATTAAATTTAGTAATTTTAGTGATAAAATATTTATTTTCTAACAATTCAATTTGTAGGTATTTACTTTACGGCCCGAAGAACAGTTGCAATTATTTTATGTTTTGAAAGGATCATTGGAAAATCGAGGTATACTCAATGTACAATAATTTGGATATTCAGTAGTCATCTATTACATTCCTACTTTCAAATATGATATAAATATTTAAACCATTGTTTTAGAGAGTTATGTTTAATTTTTCTTGTTTATGACTTGTACTTATGATATTCATTAGCCTTTTTTTTTAAATATTTTATCAAACTGACTTCTCTGCTCGAATTGCAGATTCCTTTGTGTAAAAATTAGTACAATTATGTTATTTAATTTGTTGGTTTAAGTTTGTTTGGTTGTTGTAATTGTTTTATTTAATCTTTTTAATTTTAATATATTTATTTATTTATATGATTGTTGTATAACACAGGATATCACAATTTCTATAAATCAGTCATTTGAATAATCTATAACTGCATGTTCTTTTTTTTATATGATTGATGAGTTCTTTATTCAATCCATATGACTTATTTCAAAGTAACTGATGAACTTAAAATTAAAGTAAAGGTATTTTCATAATTCTTTACCAGTTGTATAGATTTGTTTTAATTTTACTATTTTGTTAATTTTTTTTTTGTTAACGTTTTATTAATTTTTGTTAATTGTATTATAAAAAATATTGTATAAATATACATATTTAATATATATATATATATATATATATATATTTAATATACATATAATTTATACTTTATATTTAAACAGGGCGTGTGTCACAATTAAAATAATTTTAATAAAATTTACATAAAAATGTTTTCATAACAATAATTAGATAAAAAATAATGTCATGAAATGTTTAGTGCATTGTATTATAATATTAATTTTTTAATTTATTAATTAATGAAATTATTATTACTATCAGTATAATATACTATATTTTTTCTTAGTTAAAAAAATATTGTTGTAAAACAACGCTATTAGTATTGGTAAATTTAATATATAATGTGTGAATCTTGTTCTTTATATAATAAAGACATTTAATTATTCCTTCATCAATATTTTCTTATATTTATATGATTTAGAAATATTTAATCATAATAAAAAATCACTTTGTTGTTATTTTTAGAATATAAATATTCATATTATCATATTATCTTATGATTAATATTCTAAAAATAAAAATACAATTATTGTATTTTTATTTTTTGTTTTGGTGTTATAGTTGCTATGGAGTTCAAACATTAATATATACATATATAACATATTAGTTTATGAGCCAACCTACTGAATTACACCATGCTATATCATTCGTATACCTATGTGTATTCATTTTTGTGTTACATTATATATTAAGTATATTATCATATAGTTTAGTTCTAGAAGATGGAGAATGAAATAGTTGTGCAGGATCTTGAACTGCAATCGTTGATTGGATTTGATGGTAATCCTTTGAATGGCCTTATACTGCATCCAGATGGTGTTCATTTAGTTTATCCATTAGGGACAAACATCACCGCTTATAATTGGTCCACGAAAGTGCAACGATTCTTTGAAGGGCATACCAACGTCATATCGGCGGTGACCGTATCAAAAACCGGCAAGTACGTCGGTTCCGGCCAAGTAAATTATATGGGATTTCGATCTCCGATAATCATATGGGACTTCAAAACCGGTCAGATTATCACGAAATACGAGTCGCACAAAGTGCGTGTCGAGTCCGTCGCCTTCTCTTGCTGCGAAAACTTCCTTACATCCTTGGGTGGTCTAGACGACGGTTCTGTGATCGTTTATGACATTGAAAAGAAAGAAGTTCTGTGCGGTTCGTCGTCGGTGAAGTCGACCGCCGGCTACACAACGGTGCTCAAGCCCGTGCATTTGCGCGGTGAGTGTTTCATAGTAGCGGGCGACAACATACTGAGACTGTGGACGTTAAACAAAGAGCAGAGGAACATCCAAGGACTCGATGCGTCGTTCGCGAAGATCAAACGGAAAATTCTGTGCACCGAGATCGACCACATGGACGAGTACGCCTATTGCGGTACCAGCACCGGAGATGTAATGAAAATCAAATTGAACTTCTCGCCCGACACCGCGGTCGTGACGCCATCCAACTCGCCGACGTTGGTCGGTTGTTTTGCCAAGCACCCGACCGGCAAGAGACGCAGTTCCGCAGTCACCGTGGAACTGTACAGCAAGGGCATTACTTCGTTGTACCTGATCCCGGACGGTACCATGATCGTGGGCTCAGGGGACGGTGTCGTAGAACTAGTGAAGCAAAAACTTCGGTCTGGCAACACGAAGAACAGGTGCAAGGTCCAGACCCGATTGGCAACGCCCACGCACCCGTTGTTGGTGGCCTTGAAGTCGGCCAACGTGGACTCGTCCGTGACCAGCGTGCAGCTGATGAAGAACGTCATATTGGTGGGCACCAACAACTGCGAGCTATTCACGATTCGGTCTGAAGACTTCGAAGTCACCTGCCTGTTCACGTGTCACACTTCGGTGGTATACGATTTGGCGTTCCCGCACAACTACAGCAAGGTGTTCGCCACGGCCAGCAAGAACGACGTGCGCGTCTGGTCAGTGGACACGCTGCAGGAGCTGCTCCGGATCACCGTGTGGAACTTCACGTGCTCCGGTGTGCTGTTCTCGTTCGACGGTTCGCAGATCGTTACCTCCTGGAATGACGGCAACATCAGGATATTTACACCGGAAACCGGGCGTTTGCTGTACGCCATTAACAACTGTCATAATAAGGGCGTGTCGGCCATTGCCATGTCCAAGGACGGTAAGAAGTTGTTGAGCGGTGGTGGCGAAGGTCAGGTCCGCGTCTGGCAGGTAGACCAAATGAACGGTACGCTGCAAGCCGTGCTCAAGGAGCACAAGGGCCCGGTAAGCTCGATCGACGTGCACCAGCTGGGCCACGAAGCTATCACGGCTAGTGCAGATGGCACATGCGTGGTGTGGGACATTGTCCGGTTCACACGGCTGTCGATCATGTTCTCGTCGACAATATTCACCAGTGCCAAATATCATCCCAACGGTGCCCAACTGCTCACGTGTGGCACCAACAGGTATATCGGATTCTGGGAGGCGCTCGACGGTTCGCTAATTCGTGAGATCGAAGGGTCTTCGGCGTCCGCGTTAAATTCATTAGATGTCACACCTAATGGTTTGTATATATTAAATCATATGTGTCCATTTATTATTACTATATAATTACGTATGATGTGCCAGAGGTTTTGGAAAGGCGAAAGACGTTTTGGGTGTACCCAGTACCCAGTGATATAGTACTAAAAAAAAAAATTGAATATACGCTAATTGTAAGAGAAAAAGGTGAGTGGGGTTAATTCCTGCCCTCCCCCCATCAAATTTTTTTGTCAATGAGCAATAAGATTAGCTCACAAAATTAAAATCCTAATTTAAAATCAATGAAATACAATTTAAGATTATTGTTGCGTCTTGCAGCAGGGTATTTCCATTCATAAAATTTATAATAGATGAGTAAAACGTACAAATAACCGTTCCTAATAAACATGATAACGAGGAAATATGTTTGGTGTTTTTGATCTTTGTATAAAAAATATCAAAATTCGTAAATACTGTTTATAGCTCTAAAAGTGTACAGTATAGCTAGTATATCCTGCTGTATCACTAATTATAGAGTACGGATACGCATCCAAGGTTTATCTATAAACCTTGATACGCATTAATGATGGGCTAAAGTGACTAATAACTACCGACTTAGTCGGTAGTATCAAATGACTAATTTAGTTACTCGAACATTTTTTATTATTCGACTAGTTATTATTATTCTTTGACTAATTTTTATTATTTGACAAGTTATTATTATTCGACTTATTTTTATTATTTGACTAATTATTATTATTCGATTTATTTTTATTATTTGATTAATTATTATATTTGACTTATATTATTATTATTTTACTTATTTTTAATTTTTATAATTTTTATTCAACTCGTTTTTATTGGACTGATTGAAAGCTTTTAGCAGAATTATTTTATTCAACATAATAATATAACAAAAAACTTAAAAAACTTAAACATTACTTCAGAGCAATATAAATTAATATAAATTAAAATTTACAAATTTACAACTGTTTTAAATGAATTTTGGGTATTAAATATATTTTATATTTGTAATGTATGACGTAGTGTTATTATCGGTATTTTTGTTTTAAAAAGAAAAAAAATTACCTCTTATCAATACCTTTATTGGTAGGTGTACCTAGGGGTTGTGGGCGGTGATGCATTAGGTATATATGTCTGTGCGTATTTATTAATCAGCTTTGTGCGTTTTCTCAGGAAAGTACATCGTGACCGGGAGTTCGGATCAGATGGTAAAGGTTTGGCTGTACAACGAGGGGGTGCCCACACACGTCGGCGTCGGGCACGCGGGCGTCGTGACCAACGTGAAGGTGAGCCCGGACGGCCGGTTCGTGGTAAGCACGAGCGCTGACGGCGGCATATTCTTGTGGCGTTTCCCGCACGCCGCCGACATCGCGCCGCCCGGCAGCCGGTGCAGCGTGAACAGCGGCGGCTGCAGCAGCAGCGCTAGCGGCAGTCCGCGCGAACAGCAGGTGGACCGCTCGAGGGAGCTGTCGTTGAAGAAGACGTTACCTGCCCGGAAGGAGAACATCAAGGTCATATCCAAGGCGCAAAAGGTCAGGGCGTCTGACGGGCCAACCGCGGGCCGTGCAACGTCGTCTGTCGACGGGAACGTGAACTCCACGACGGCAACGGACCGCGGTTCGATTAAGTGCTTGTGCCGGCGTGAATCAACGTGTACTTGCTGCGCCGACGCATCCGGCAACACAGACCGGAAGAGCACGTCGTCCGTCCAATAACAGTGTGACCTTAACTCATAGCATTTCCTCCGTTGGTTTTTATTCCCTTGTTTACCTATATTTTTGAACATTTTCAGCAACATGTTGCTGAAAATGTTCGAAAATATAGTTATAAAAGTAATCAAATATAATCAAATATATGTTATATTATAACAGTTGGCCGACTAGAAGAGTTGACAGTGGTAGGTAGGGCCGAACTTAAATTATCGTTTCGGGGGTGTTGAACACCTGAAACTACCCCCTCAGCCAGTGGTGGACTGGGCCGAAAGGCGAGGGGGTGAACGCCCCTGGGTTGGTATGATTGCTGGCTCTCACAGGTATATTTGGCCCATATGTAGAACTGTGTAGTGATTAATTTATCAGCAAATTGTGCAATTTTCAAAACTGTAGCTTAGTTTGCTCAATGCGACGTAGAGTAACACCAATACACCATAGAACAACAATTATCTATGCAGCTGCAGTGATGGTTGATAGAGTAATTTAAAATACACTGTGTTTAGATACCTGGGCGCCCGGGTGGATAGAGCGTACACGGACTGTCCGTGTATATATTCGATACCCGAATAGTTAACGCGCCGGTCGGGGGCAGTTGTCACGTCAGTGATGTTATGCTAGCGGCACTTGTCGCTACGCTCCTCGGCGCCTTCGCTCCGCTCCGCTGATCGTAAATATCCCTCGACTTGCTATGCAACACCACCCCAAGTAGGTTACAGGGTAATTACTAAGTTACTAACTGTTGTATCAGTTATCAATCACCATGAAAATAATTAAAAAAATGCAAAATAAAATTTCAGCAGTTGAAACCGATACCTGTCGCTATGTATGGCTTTCAATACCTTTAGACTACGAGTTCACATACAATAATCTCATAATATTGTTCATACATTAATTTAGCTAGAAATAAGGAAAAGGTATTCAAATGGTGTTAATAGTAGCTACGGGTTTTTTTTTTTTTTTTTGTAGCGACTACGATAAATGCATGATTCAGTTGACCATCAAGGACACAAAGAATTTTTTAAAGTTTTTTAGTTTTGTGTATCAAATGAAAAGATGGTGATTGGACATTGTTATAAATAAACTTATGCTGTATAATGATATTCATGGAATTTTTGGGCCTCTTCATAGGATCGCCCGGGCCGATTTCTTACCCCAGTCCGATCCTGCCCTCAGCACACCCCTAGTGGTTATTACCTACATTGCGAAAACTCAAAACGATGACGAGACAGATGTTTATTTTATCATAGTTATATTTAATTCTACGGTTTAAATACCTAATTGGTATATAGATTCTTCACAATAGAAATTGTGTTGTTATGTATTCGACAGAGCACATTACTAGTAAATTATAGAACAAATTTGAACGGCGAAATGTGAACAAAATTATATATTAACTTAACAATTAAGATTACCATTTTATTGTCAATTTTTTTTTTTTTAAATCATTATTTTTGATATTTAGTATTAGTTTTACTATAAATAAATTATTTAAAATATTGTAAAAAATATTATTGTGTAAATAATTGTGGTATAAATGATCAAAAAGATTCTAAATACATTTGAGAAAATATTCAAGTACAAAATGAATGCTCAATATATTTTTATATATACTAAAATACATCTTACTTTATTGTCATTCAGTGCCGCAATTATGAATTCTAAGACTTGTGTGCAATGATTTATTTTGAGGCCCCAAATTAATATTACATTTTTTTTACTTGGTTTTTGTATTACTACAGCAATTACTAGGTATTTTAGTATTATAACTTTAATCATAGGCGTGTGCATACCTCTTTTTCAAAATTTTAGAAAGAAGGCTCAATGTACAGAGTATGCAAAAGGCTGCCACTGCCTACCCCTCCCCCCTAAAACTGAAAGTTAATTTAAGCGTTCGAAATTCTGGTCTTAATAACTATTTCATTTAACATTTTCATTTTTTTTCTTGAAAAAAGTGAATGTATAGCCATTTCTTAATCGTTATGTTTTCATAATTAAAATTTAAAATAAATTAAAAAAAAAAATTAAGTACATAACACTTGAAATGGTATGAGTAATACGTTTAAATAAGGTAAATAAATAAAAACGTAATTATATACTTAAATGAAAACAAAATAAATTTGATAAATAATCAAAATTAATCATAAAACGATAATGCGAACAGTTGAGTTCTTAATATCACCAAAAATGTTTTCAGGATTTTAATTTAAAGCCATTTCTTATTCTATAGTTGATAACTATTTAATCTCGCTTGAATTATTGTACTTTTTAATTTCATTAACATATTAAATCGTTATTATAGCATATTATTTGTGTTTCAAAAATAAATTAAACTGTCTGGGACTGAATATAAAAATATAATAAAAATCATAATGTAATACAAAATCACATAATATACATAAGACCAAATATGTCATAATTTTTATTTATTTTTGTATTTTGTAATTTTAGAAAGAAGGCTCTATGTTTAGGGTTGCAGTTGCATACCCTGCATATCCCCTGTCCACGCCTATGACTTCAATTGAATCATCTGTAATCTGATACATATACTATATTAATTTATTAAAGAAGAAGGTTGTATTATAAATTTTATAGTTAATTATATAATATAGTTAGTTAATATAAAACTCATAAAATGTCCAAAATCAATTTTAATAGTGGAATCACTAATTTTAACTCGTGCATTTAATTTGTTTTTATTGATATCAACTGTAATAAAATTATCAAACATAATTAATATAATTAATCATAGTGTTTTTCTTAATATAACCAATAAGTAACAACATAATAATCAACAATTTATTAATTCGCCTTAAATTTAAATTATTTTAAAAAGTTTTTTTTTTTCGAGCACTAGCATTGGCAAAGTCTGTTATAATTTTATCAATTTTGAGTTCTTATGTATGTTTGATTTTTATATTCAAAATGCTTATATTTTTCAATCGATCTTGAGATAAAGAATTACAAAAATAACTTTTTATTAATTTAAGCTTAGAATAGCTGCAGTAAAAGTTCTGCAGACGCAACAGTTATTGGTAATGTTAAAAATAAAAGACATGCAATTAATACATTTGGATAAGTTGAAAACAAATCCATTTAAGTAATAAATATACATACATAGATCATTTATATTTTTAAGGTTTGAGATAAAATTATTGTTTTTAAGCGTACATTTTACCGCGTGAAATCTGCAGTAACGGCGCAACTAGTAAAAACAGATAGGGTCCATGCAATAGTGACTAATATTAATATATACTAATATACTATTAATATAATACTAATATACAAATTATGTTATTATACTTTATAATATTATTTACGTAATCATAGGTGTATTTGAGGGTGGCGAAGGGGGCATTTGCCCCCATGGCTCGTATTTTTTTTTAATATAATATATTAATTAAAAAATGTAATGTATATATAATTAAGGATATAAATGACTAGTCTATCATTATGATATGACAATAAATTCAATAATACGTCAATTTGATCACGGGTATCAATTTTTGTTTATCTTCATATATCAAAACCTTTTTGGTTGTTGAACGAATAATATCTGGTATTTTTTGTTGTGCTTAAGTATTTAGTTATTTTTTGTGCACAAATGCATGCATATTTGTGTATTTTATAGAGCTAGAAGTCGCTTTCTTTTTTTCTGGGCTTTTACAGACCTTTGAGGTTCATCGCCGCAACAACATATTCTTTCCATTCATCTCTATCTTTTGCACATTCTTCTGCGTTTCTTACGTTCAGGAGTTTCAAGTCTTCTTGTACTCTATCCACCCATTTTTGTTTGGGGCGTTATCGAGGTCTCTTAGTGACCAATTCAATTTTCCTCCATTTAATATTCATTTAAATTATTAATACTCTAAATTTATAAATTTAATTACATTGGTGTTTGTTGTTATTTATTATAATAAATATTTTGTTGATTCACCTGCATGAGTAGTCTTTAGATGCCAGGATAACTCTTTTTATTTTTTATTCAAAATTAAAAATATAATGTTTTTAATAATATCTAATTATGATTTTGTAATTATATAAATAATGTTTAAAATTAAGTCATATATTAAATTTTCGCTCGCAGCCGGGAACCAGGTAACTAAGCCTTTTTTGACATAGTTTTTTTAACGGAAATTGAGAAATATTTATAAATATTATTTTTTGTTATAAGTTATTGTAAATTTTTAATACTTTATCCGTATTTCAAATTACAATAAGTTGTTATATTTGTGCTTAGTAATGTTCTACAAGTGCTATAGACTAATAGTTTTTGTAAAAATTGTTTTGAAACAGAAACGTAAATGTGGTTGTATAAAAATTATTAAAAATTTAACCGATGTAAGTATTTTATTGGTTAATGTATTTTATAATTGAAATATATTGTTGTAAATACATAATCATTTATATTTAAATAATTTTTTTTTTTTGCGGCAAACCACAACGGTTAGCAACGTTGAGACTGATAATCTATGTCCAATTTTATTTGTCATATTCTACGAGTGTTTGTTAAATATTTTCATTTTGACAAATTACATTTCTTACAATTTTTCGTTCATAATATATAAAAAAAAATTTAAAAAAACTAAAATCATAATTAATTCTCTTTTAAATCTTAAAGCATACTAAATTATTTAAATATTGTTATTGTTTACTTTATTAAAGTAAACAGCCGAAATCTTTGAGTCGATCCAGAATGAAACAAACTTACGAGGGACTAAAACACCTATTTACTTCACACACATACAGGTTCGTCGTTTTTTTTTTTTAATAAAAAATGCAATCATAATTTAATTAAATAAATTTATTTTAATTAGTTTCTAGTTTATTTTTCCATATAATCCATTACCTTTTTAAAACTAGCAATAATTAATTACTCTCGGTAATTTAAATAAAATGTTTCCATTAATTGCATCAATTTTTCTCCATTTAATATTCATTTAAATTATTAATACTCTAAATATATAAATTTAATTGCATTGGCGTTTGTTGTTTTTTATTATAATAAATATTCTTGTGGTAGGCGGCACTACAGAGTCTTTTAAATTTGAAAATTTAAACATGCTGATATTTTTAAACCAAAATCGAGAATTATTGCACTAATTATATTTTTGGGGTTAGATAGGCATCAAATGAATGCAAAACCATTAATAAATAATAAAAAAATTATTAAAATTTATAAATAATATGTCTTTTTTGTTCATTATTATTATTTTTTTTTTATCTATTTATTATAATTTAACAGGTTATTATTTATCTGTACTTTATTTATTATTACATTATGTATTTGCTTAAATTTTTTTCATGATCCATTTATACATATATTAATCAACCCTAAATTATCAACGTCATTATAAAAAACATTTATAAATAATATTATTCACTGAACGTACCTAAACAGTTGTATTTAATGTGGAACTAGTTAACACATAGTTACTACATGCAAGGACCGATAGCGACGAACGAAATTGTAACGATCGCGGATTCACGTGAATAAAATTGTAAATACACTTGACATTTTAGTCAACGAGTAATATAAATTGAATCTTAATTTCACGTGAACACGTGAAAACGTATACACGTGAAATAGGGAGCTCTAGTCACTACACCCCAAGATAACTGTTTTTATTTTTTATTGACAATTGAAAGTATAATGTTTTTAATAATATACAATTATGATATCATAAGTATTTAAAAAATGTTTATTAAAATATATATATATATATATATATATATATATATATAAATAAAATTATAAAATATTATATTATTATAAATTTAATTTATTTAATTTAATTTAATATTTTCGGGAGTGGCTACTATGGACGGAATTATATTACTACTACTATCTAAGAATTACTAAAAAGACACAATAGTAATATTATATCAAGCGCTATAACCTAATAGTTTTTGTAAAAATTGTTTTGAAACAGAAACGTAAATGTGTGTGTGTAAAAAATATTAAAAATGTAACCGATTTCAGTATTTCATTGGTTAATGTATTTTATAATTGAAGTATATTATTGTAAATACATAATCATTTATATTTAAATAATTTTTTTTTTTTTTTTGCGGCAAACCACAACGGTTGGCAACGTTGAGACTGATAATCTATGTCAAATTTTATTTGTCATATTCTGTGTGCGTTTGTTAAATATTTTCATTTTGGCAAATTACATTTCTTACAATTTTTCGTTCAGAATATATGTACATAAAAAAAAAAATTTAAATAAACTAAAATCATAATTAATTCTTATTTAAACCTTAAAGAGTATTAAATTATTTAAATATTGGTATTGTTTACTACTTTATTAAAGTAAACAGCCGAAATCTTGGAGTCGATCCAGAGTGAAACGGAATTACAAGAGACTAACACATACCTATTTACTTCACACACATACAAGTACGT